ATAGTTCGAGGTAGTGAGGGCACAGGACACCAAGTAAGATCTGTAATTCGAAAAAGTATTTCATGTTTATTTGTAGAATGTACCTAGTGAGCAAAAAAAAATAACCATAGAACCGCAGTCGGCAGTAGATGTATAGTATTTATTCCTCAAGCAAACAAATCTGGTAGCCAACAGCAAACTGTTGTCTAACAAAGCTATCCCATGGCTGCTTCTATTTAACATAAAAGGCGCTATATCGCTGGACCGCTTTTTATAATCGGAAGTCTAGTATGGTATGTATGGTACACCCTAAGCTTTCCACATAAGTAGATACGTATATGTACACATACACGCAATTGTTCAAATTCAAGGAATATACTCACCGGATCCTTATTCTTTGGTAAGTAGTTATAAGGCACAGGTTGCCAGTAAAGTCCATTTTCGAACATCTGATCCTTGTTAGGTGTGAACAGTGACGCTAGAACCAATTCCAGCGACATTTTTGTCCTATTGTAATCTGTAGATAGTGCTTCGACCATATCTGGTAGATAAAAATCTCCTAGAAAGTTCCTATATCTGCTCCTCAAGGTGGATCCGATGTTAAATTCTTTCCGTTTTCCAGCCTATAATAAATACAAACAGTCGCTCACTATTGAACGGTACGGAAAACCTTCCACATTGAGTTTCCCAACGATTTCAAAGTATTGAAGCGTCTTAGTAATACATTGCATATGATAGAATCGTAACTTCTTCTGTAATGTTTACGATTCAAAGATTAGTAATGGAGATAAACGAAAAAAGCGAAACGATGCATCAGTTCAATTCACAGAACTCAGAACGTGTAATTTTTGATGGAAAGTATGGTTTTATTCTCGGTGAGTGATCTTGCAAATAAAAAAAACACCAAACTTTGATACATTCTGCAAGATGAAATTACCATTAACCGGGCCTGGTTGAATATTTCAAGTATTTTAAGGAAACGAGAGAGTTTTTCAAACAAAAAATATATAAACACTTCGCGAAAAATTTCTAAAATGAAGTATTATGTACATGACACACTCATTTCAACCGGCCTATTTCCCTGTCTGTCTGCTAACCCTGGATGCCGCTAGAACTTGGAAACTACGATATGGTTTTAATGAAATTTTGACAGAAGTTTACGACTATGCCAAAGACGAAAGAGCTTTATGGTTTTTAAAAATCGATTCAGTGGCTCAGAGTCGCTCATTTAGTCGGTCTATCCGCTAATCCTCACTATATAACTTGAAAAGTACTGTTCGGATATGGATGAAATTTTTACCCAAGGCGAAAAAGAGATGCGGTTTTTGAAAATCGGTGTAACGGTGGCGGGCAAAAGGCCAAACGAAAACATAAAGACAAATCGCTCAAACTTCGTTTTTTGACGTTTCAGAGAATCCTGATCAATTTTAAAAAAAAATCAGGGAATTACTCTATATGGTTGGGGTTGGGGGAGGGTATATCTCAATTTTTTTATCAGTATATTTATTCCCAACAGCTATTAGACATATTTCACACATCATCGATTGGCAGGTACATTTGCCCTCAAAACAGAATGTTTTCGATACCCGTCTGCTTCTACTCCCAGCATTACTGATGCGTTGCCGCATGTGGGAGGCATAGGTATCGGGAAGAGACGGCGTTACCAGATAGACTACCGGTAAAGTAGGGAGAGAATGTCTATGGACTAATTGTATGGACCTGTTCGACTGACTTGGTCCGTTTAATTTCTCTGTTATACATGTTCGAAACTAACTTTTCTCTTAGAGGGTCAACTTGTGCTGAACATACTCATTTGTAAACTGATGAAGGCGCTTCCTGGGAAGTGCAGAGTCAACTAAATGAGTGTGTCCGATATTATTGCGACCACAAGGAATAGTAAGAACAGGTCTGAATAAATTGCTGTAGCGTGGGAAATTGAAAATGTGCCGCCCATTAGCTTGAGTTTGCACTTCTCAAGGTAGGCCTGCACGTTTAAATAAGGTGTTTATGTTCTAATTTTGTGCGACAAATGAACGGTAGTTGAGGGATCAAAACGGTAGTTCTGGCAGCGCTGCCAACCACCAGTCGGTCCAGCTCTGATGCAAGTATACCCACATTCGTTAATGTTGCGTTGACACATATGTTGAAAATACCGCCAGGTAACTGCAAAAACCAAACACCCCAAAAACGAAGTTATTAGCGATTGACATTTTTTTCGAATACAGAATTAGAATATAAGAAAATTTGAACTAAAGGATTTTATCCGTAACTGGTATAAGTGAGAAAATGCACTGGACTCAAGAAGTAAGCTTCAGTAAGCTGACGATATTTCCCATCATTCAAGTGTCAATCCATGTACGAAATGTCTAATAGGTATGTAATAATAATAATAATGATGATAATAATAATAATAATAATAATAATAATAATAATAATAGCTTTATTACCCAACAGCTAACCATTTACAGGGTAATTAAGAGAGGTTCTAAATTATTACATGTTTAACTACGAAAAACAAGTTAAATGTGTATAACAGCTTGATCCACAAGCTTATTCAACGTGCAAGTGAATTATAAATTCAAAAGACAAAAAAAGAAAGAAAAAAAGAAAAACAATTAAAGGTGAATGACAGCTTGACTCATAAGATCCTCCAACGTGCAAATAAAAATGTCACAATAAGTAGATATTCTGTTACAGTTCCTACACATTACATGAATGGGCGACTTAACTAAGATATTGGTTCTTGGCCTACTACACTTGAACGTGGCACTAATCCTACTACCGATCCTAGGTACATTAAAATTGATTAAACGTAGGATGGAAGAGCAATCTATGGTATTATGTACTTCTAGAATTACTGGGGTTGGAAGCGTGTAAATACACCTACGCCAACAAATTGAGATATACCCTCCTTCACACCCTACAACTGCCGGACATGCATTTTGTTTTGAAAATAATCAGGAGTATCGAAAATGTCAAACAACGAAATTTTAGACAATTTATTTGTCTCGTCTTTTTTGCCTGTAGCTACACCATCGATTATAAAAACGACAATTTTTTCTATGTTATGTGTAGCTGTAACTTTGTGTCGAAATTTTATCAAAATCCGAAGAGTACTTTCTAAAGTTACAGCGGGACCAAGGATAAGTGGACAGGCAGTTAAACAGATAGGGCATCAGAAATGAGTGACATGTTTTTTCCAGATGTATTGTACATACAATATTCAAAAACATAATAATTTATTTCCGAAATTTTCAGATGGCGAGAGAGGTAAAAATGATGTAGCAAAAGAAACAACGGTAATAAAAATATTATTATTCATGGAGGTGACCCAGAATAGGTCAAAGTTAATTATGTAGGTGTATCAAGTGACATCTACTTCATGGTCCGCTGTATACAAATACCGATTGACATTAATCTAGTTTTTGCAAGCTAAAAACATTCTTAACATTGAGGTGTAGTAACAAAAACCTTTGCTTTTCCACTCCATCGCACTTGATGACATTATTTTATCTGCATTTTATACGATAACGTACGTATACTGAGGTAAGCAGCTGAAAAAGTGATTGATTTCATTGGATACGAGAACTAAAAAATATCAAAATTGATGCATTTTCATTAAAACAAACAAAACTGTAGGTAGTGTAACATAATGCCATAAAATGACATAAGTGACTCCATACCTTAGTAAGTTGACCTCGTCCATATGGATAATAACGCTCATTCAGGTATGGGTCTTTAGGATACAACTCTGTCAATTCTGGAGTCCTGTTTCCATGTCTGAAAAGCTAAAAGTCAGAATTACTTTGAATATTTGGATAGTAGAAGATAAACTACGTGTGTATTTAATACATATATGTAGATATACAGGAAACAACGGAAACTGATAAGTCAAAAAATAGTATTAATGTTATAGATAACATGAAAATTTATTTTGAACCAAAGCCACATGCAAATATAAACGACGCAGTGTATGAGTAAACATATCAAACTTTTCCTCTAAGACTGTTATTTATTTATAAAATTCACCTATATTACAGCGTTGTGAATTATTTTTATATTTTCATTTATTGCTTTCTAGATAGATTAAGAAGAATAATAACAATCGGATGATTGAATGGTAACTATTGTTAAATAAAATGAAATTTTCATTACTTGATAAGTATTAAGTGTCTGATAAGGATTTCATTACTTGCAGTTTTAATATTTATGTAATTCATCATTCATATTTTTAAACTTATTTAATCATTGATCTTATTTCCGCATCCTTTGTCATTTATGTTACTTAACTTAATAATCACATTTATCCATAATTTGATGTTAACTGACGACTAATTGGTTATGGAACAATCATTGCTTATAAAAATGTTATTTACATAGTTCACATACGGTGACTCACAAATGGGTTACGACTTTATCAGCAAACTTTAGTCTTTAACAAGGGCTGTTTTTACATATGCAATTTTATTTATCACAGCCATCAAAAACTCCTTAGAGTGTGTGCACAGTAGTAGTGGGCACAACTATTTTAATATCTAAATTCTGATAGCATATCCTATATGAAACAGCACACACAAAATATCTTCTTACTGAATTATAGAATCAGTTACATTCGTGACAATTATATGCGTTTTTTTAACATACCACATGTGAAACCACAAGAGACGATTCCTGGAGACCACCAGCTTCAGGTTCTGCAGCTGAATGAAACTGCAGCAACGTTAATCCCACTAATGTTATTGCTGTAACATGAAAATATTTTACATCAAACAGATATGCAAAGTACAATTATCATCAACTAATATTTTTCTCGTTAATAAATACGTTGTGCGTAGTAGAAAGAAAGATCAAAGCGCGATTCCATCATTAGCAAAAACTCTTTCAATAACAAAGTTAAAACTGAAGCTATATTAAAGTTATCCTCAATCAATGTCAAGAAGGTTGTGACTATTTTTGACAATACATTCTCAAGAATCTGATTTTTTAGATGTCATAATAGTACTTTTGATGGGCCGATCTCAGTGTCTCTTCTGAAACCCAACAATTGTTGTTACCACCAATGGAACAGTTATCACCCGACCTAGACAGAAAGTTGTAAAACAAATCATCGTTATAGGCATTTTATCCACCTTTTACAGTCAGTTACAAGTGGAAAGAAAGTCGGGCTGCCTATTCGCTAAAGAATTTCTTGGCAATCCTGGTGAGAAAGTAGAAAAATGTTATATTTCTATGTCCAGATAACAGTTTGCCATAGGCATTGCGAGAGGACCCTTTCAGCTAAGAATTATCCGTTCTGAGATAACGATGGCCTTCTATGGTTATAATATAAGGAAAACTTCGCTAAATCGTAACACAACCTTTTTCAGTAGTTTGGGGTGGCTGACAATCTAGCCTTGAGTGACACCTGGGAAGACATACAAGGGGCCCCGATAGCACGAAATATTCATTAAACATTTTTATCTTACATAAATATTTGTTTTCTTACACAAATATTTAAGAAATATTTGAAATGTAATATTTTTATTAAATATTTATTCAATATCTTTTAAATATTTTAAATACAATATTTTATTTATAAAATTGATTTAATATTTACTTTTCAATCAATGGAAAATATTAAATCTCCAATATTTAGAAAATATTCATCAAGTATTTGCGGCTACGGCGCATGTGCGTGTGACCCCGAGCGACCAATGCTATAATAGCAAGCCGGCCTGCGCACCACCGCTTTACCAACATCCATTTTGCCTTTCACTATGGTAGCGTGCTTCCTGTGTACCTCCAAGTGGTACATTATTTGAGTAGTTTTTTTTGGGAAAAGGAAAATGGTAAGCTTTTCGATAATTACATAGCTTAATTTATCTGTCTAGTAAACATTATTGTGCCAGTTGAGTATAAAGGTATTCACAAGAATATTAATAACTAGCATTGAAGTGTAACAGTTATTTGGTATTGGTGGATTTATCTGAGAATGGATAAGAAAATTATATTCATAACATCTCAATGAATAGTCATATAATCGCAACTTGATCGAGATACATCAAACATGTTTTTTTTTAAATATCCCTATTATCATTACTAATTTTGTCGTAGTAGGTGGCAGATCAGCTGTAACTATTTTAAAAACAGTCGAAAATACTATATTTTTGTCCCTTGAATTATAATATAAAATCACAAAATGTTATAGTTATGGCTAAATTAACCCCGTTGCTGAAAAAAGTCATATTTCAACAAAATCAGTAAGTGTTCTATTTTCAAAAACCTTTCTTTTAAAAGCTAGTCAAAGGACCAACTTGTGCCCATGATGGACATTTTTCATCAAGATATCTAAAATGGCATACCAAATTTTCTTGAAAATTAACCAAATCTCGAACTATCATAGGCAGAAAATGTGGGGTCATTTTAGGAGCATTATAGAGCTGCTTTTCAGTGACCCAGTTGAGCTACTCGAAGTAACTCATTAGTGCTCAACACCAGTATTGTTCCACGGCATTCTATATTCCCATAAATACACTAGAAAGCAGCTTATGTATTCAATAATACTTCATAATTCGTAAGTTTTTTTTTCACAGGAATAGACTTGCAAAATGCAGAAGAGGCTTAGAATGTTTTTTAATAATATTTTTCTAACAAATTAAACCATTATATCTAGAATGAATTTTCTTTATAAACCCGATTTTATATAAACATTCCTACAGATTTTGCTAAAATAACCAATGGAGAATTTTCTATATACACTGAAAATATGTTTCAGATTAATGTTTGAAAATTCATACATATTTACGAAAAATATTAGATATCTCATCAAAATATAAAATTGATATTTAAAAATATTTCCTGATATATTTTCTATTTGGAAAAAATATCGCAAAAATATATAAATTATATATAGTACAAATATCTATAATAAATATTTTATAAACATATACAAAATATATTTATTAAATATTAAAAAATCATCTGTCACTACATTTTTTTAAAATATTAATGCCATCGGGGGGGGGGAGGTCAATGGAGAGGCCTAAGTGCTGTGACCTTGGCTGAGCTGATCGCCCTTCTTTCTATCCAGAATACAGAATCAAATCAGTTACAACTTATAAGGGAAAATACAAACTTACTGTGGTAGAAAACGACATGTTGAAACCTTTTGAACTGGCACTACTGTTCGCATCTGAGTATATAACAACAATCTGTACAGAGTTTGGAAAATAGTCTGTTCCACCCCCTCTTTGTCTATATTTTGATGATAGACACTTGAAGGTAACGTTATATAAACGTGGAATGAATATGGATTAAAATATCTTAATCTATAGCTTCCTTTGTTCTAAGTATTTCGATTCCTGATAACAGTTATCCTTGTCAATCAATTTCTTAACTAATGCCCATCAATCAAAGAATGCTATAATTATAATATTATCATTATAATATTACCAGCTTGATAAGTACGTCATAATGACGTTAATTAATATTGGGGAAACTAGCGCAGTTGCTGGCACGCTAACGCTATGCAAAATATTGCACGTTGATGTCTTTATTTAAAACCTCACGTAGCGCAGTTGCTGGTATGCTAATGCAATGCTAGCGATAACTTTATCCCTATCTCTAATCATTTTTTATCCTTTGGCATCTTTGATCTGGTATCTGGTATCTGGTATTTGGTATCTGGTGTCTGGTATCTGGTATCTGGTATCCGGTGTCTGGTATCTGATGTCTGGTATCTGGTATCTGGTGTCTGGTATCTGGTATTTGGTATCTGTTATCTCTTTATCTGGTATCTGGTATCAGGTATCTGGTATCAGGTATCTGGTATCTGGTGTCTGGTATCTGGTATCCGATGTCTGGTATCTGGTATCTGATGTCTGGTATCTGGTGTCTGGTGTCTGGTATCTGGTGTCTGGTATCTGGTGTCTGGTGTGTGGTATCTGGAATCTGGTATTTGGTATCTGTTATCTCTTTATATCTGGTATCTGGTGTCTGGTATCTGATATCTGGTGTCTGGTATCTGGTGTGTGGTATCTGGTATCTGGTGTCTGGTGTCTGGTGTCTAGTATCTGGTGTCTGGTATCTGGTGTCTCGTATCTAGTGTCTGGTGTCTGGTATCTGGTGTCTGGTATCAGGTATCAGGTATCTGGTATCTGGTATCTGGTACTTGGTATTTGGTATCTGATATCTGGTGTCTGGTATCCGGTGTCTGGTTTCTGGTATCTGGTGTCTGGTATCTGGTGTCTGGTATCTGGTATCTGGTGTCTGGTATCTGGTATCTCGTATGTGGTGTCTGGTATCTGGTGTCTGGTATCTGGTATTTGGTATTTGGTATCTGTTATCTATTTATTTGGTATCTGGTATCTCGTTTCTGGTATCTGCTATCTGGTGTCTGGTATCTGGTGTCTGGTATCTGGTATCTGGTGCCTGGTGTCTGGTGTCTGGTATCTAGTATCTGGTGTCTGGTATCTGGTATCTGGTATGTGGATCTGGTATCTGGTATCTGGTGTCTAGTATCTGGTATCTGATATCTGATATCTGGTGTCTGGTGTCTGGTGTCTGGTATCTGGTATCTGGTGTCTGGTATCTGGTGTCTGGTATCTGGTGTCTGGTATCTGGTATCTGGTATCTGGTGTCTGGTATCTGGTATCTGGTATCTCGTATGTGGTGTCTGGTATCTGGTGTGTGGTATCTGTATCTGGTATTTGGTATCTGTTATCTTTTTATCTGGTATCTGGTGTCTGGTATCTGGTATCTCGTTTCTGGTATCTGCTATCTGGTATCTGGTGTCTGGTATCTGGTGTCTGGTATCTAGTATCTGGTATCTGGTATCTGGTGTCTGGTGTCTGGTATCTGGTTTCTGGTATCTGGTATCCGGTGTCTAGTATCTGGTATCTAGTATCTGGTATGTGGATCTGGTATCTGGTTTCTGGTATCTGGTGTCTGGTGTTTGGTATCTGGTGTCTGGTATCTGGTATCCGGTGTCTGGTGTCTGGTAACTGGTGTCTGGTATCTGGTATCTGGTTTCTGGTATCTGGTATCTGGTATCTGGTACCTGTCATCTTTTATAAGTTTTCATTTTTCGTTTTCCGTTTTCCGTTTCCGTTTTCCGTTGTCCGTTGTCCGTTTTCCGTTGTCCGTTTTTCGTTTTTCGTTTTTGGTTTTTCGTTTTTCATTTTTCGTTTTTCATTTTTCATTCTTCATATTTCATTTTTTATATTTCATTTTCATTATTCATTCATTTTTCATTTTTTAATGTCGCATGTGTCACCATTAATAGCACACAATGGCATTATAAAATCTTCGATATAGCATTAATGCCCTCTATAAAATTGTATGACAAACTCAGATTTATGTGAGGAGCCGGCAACGTCGCATGTGTCACCATAAATAACACACAATGGCATTATAAAATCTTCGATATAGCATTAATGCCCTCTATAAAATTTTATGACAAACTCAGATTTATGTGAGGAGCCGGCAACGTCGCATGTGTCACCATCAATAGCACACAATGGCCTTATAAAATCTTCGATATAGCATTAATGCCCTCTATAAAATTGTATGACAAACTCAGATTTATGTGAGGAGCCGGCAACGTCGCATGTGTCACCATAAATAACACACAATGGCATTATAAAATGTTCGATATAGCATTAATGCCCTCTATAAAATTGTATGACAAACTCCGATTTATGTGAGGATCCGGCAACGTCGCATGTCTAGCTACCGCACTTACAAAAAATGGCGCTTGACACTTGATATATGTGAACCGTGTTCGCGTAAGGATAGCACGTTCTTTCTTCAGTGTAAATGTTTTATGATTTGACAGGAATGAAAATTATGTTTACCTTTTTTAAATCTGCTGACGATTAATAAGGGTACCTCTCAAACTTCTTCAAGGATGAAATACATTAGAGAGATATTGCATATGGACCTAAATAAGGGTATGCATTATTTAGGTGAACCTAAATAAGTACAGTGGAATTAGAGATATTGCACATGTAACGTATTTTGACAGTTCGCTTTGATGGTGTTTATCTTAACCTCACTTTTCCTTCCAGTTTTTGCTTGCATAATATAGGTGGTTCGTAGTTGAAATTCTACCAAAGGTGTGAGAAGTGAGATTGTAAAATGGAAGCTGAATTGGAAGCAGTTATATTGGCAGGAGCAGATGAGGAGGAAATAGAACATATCATCCTCCATAATATATTTATTGATAGAGGCATTACTCATACAGCACAATTCAACTTGGAAAACTTGCCAGATGAAGTAATAAGACTAAATTTTCGATTTGAGAGGTCTGACCTTCATAGGCTGATGGCTGTTTTACGAATACCTTCAGAAATTGTCACTATCACACGTAATAAAGTGGATGGTATGATTTTGTTTAAATATTTATTGCTATATGTTCATCATTTCAATCGAACTCCATCCTCTGACTCAAACAACACTTGCCAGAGGCTGGAATTCTATCAACATGAAAACCACAGTATAAGTTCCATTTATCTTCTTTCAGGTTTAACAGCATTGTGCATTCTACTAAGACGGCTGGCATATCCAAACAGATTGTGTGATATGGTCCCTATGTTCCACTTGTCAACTCAGTCCTTTGTCACAAATCATAAATAAATTGATAAGTGTGATTATGGAGGAGCATGCTGTACTTCTCAACAATTTGAATTCATTGCAGTGGTTTAATAGGGAGAAGTTGGAGTATTATGCACAGGTATTGTATTGTGTAATATAGTTGAAGTGATGGTTGGTTCATAAAATGCTGAAATGTGCTTTTTGTAGGCTATTCATAATAAAGGAGCACCTATGAATAATTGTTGGGGTTTCATCGATGGTACAGCAAGGAAAATTTGTCGACCCTCTGAAAATCAAGAAGAGTATTATTCAGGACACAAAAGGTATCACTGCATAAAATTCCAATCAATAATTTGTCCTGATGGAATTATTGTTAGTTTGAAAGGCGCATATCCGGGAAGAAGGCATGATGCCAGAATATTTAGGGAGTCAGGTATCTCTGAAGAATTAGTGCAAAAGACATGTTTTGACACAAGACGATTTGTTTTATTTGGTGATCAAGGATATGGGCTGAGTGATGTGCTATTTACCCCATTTCATGGCAGAATGGAAGATTTACCTGCCCATCAGCAGAGTTTCAATTCTGCTATGAAAGTTCTAAGGATAGCAGTAGAATGGGGTTTTCAGAAAGTCATATCAGAATTTGCCTTTGTAGATTTTTCAAAAAACCAAAAAATGCTACTTCAAGACGTTGATGCTTTATACAAGGTGGCTGTACTACTTACTAACTGCCATACATGCCTGTATAGTAGTCAGACTGCTATGTATTTCAATACAAATCCACCTTCACTTGAGACCTACATAGGCCACTGATAAATAGAGGACATTTTGGGTTTGAAATACTCGTTTGCTTTCCATCGCCGCAGCCAAGACCAACCGCAGACAGCGCTGTTTCGGGCTCTTTAGCCCTCATCAGTATGGTATAGGTCTGTATCAGGTCCAGCCGTGAAGGCGGACAAATGGAAAGTAAACAAGCGAATGTGGTCTATCAAATAGCGGGAAGACGGTAAATGTAAAAGATGGCTCGCGCCATCTAAATTTCGCTAGAACTAGTTTCTTTGCAATGGAAAGCAAACGAGTATATCAGACTATATTATTGCATGTTCTGCAGAAAATGCTATTGTTAGTTTGTCCTGTGAACGCCTTGCGTTACGACTCTGGTGGCCGGCTACTGTTGGTTGGTACCGGGGTATCTGTACTCTGTACAATTCATCTGAGTCAGCGACCAGAAATCGTAAGGGGTTTCTGCTTTGCCTGCGTCGTCATTGACGAAACTTGCAAAGAAACTATCTCTAGCGCAAATTTAGATGGCGCTAGCCATCTTTTACATCTAAATTTTGGGTTGTTTCTAACTTGTAACGCTTGATGATAATTTGTAATTTTTTATAGACTTGTAAGACCAATAAAGCTTGTTTGGAATGTATGTTTATTTATTTTACAACCATAAGGGCAGCAAGCACCCAATAAGAGATTTCAAAACTAAATTAGTATGTTGCTGAAAATATATGAAATCAACTTCTTCAGGAGTTGTGGATGAAATATGTTTGATCCTGAAGTTACACAGTTTTACTATGTTCATACATGGAACCAGTTGCAGAATCAATTTCATATATTTTCGGCAACAAACTTGGTTTGTGCTCACCATCCTTAGCATCAACATTATTATTTCAATATAAGGCCAGTATATTATTTTTTTAATGGCAAATTATCTATTATCAAGTTTTGTCAGTAATGCTTCAATAAGCTTTTGTTGTGTTTTGATGAGGTCACTCAAGTTTTTTCTTTCAGCGACATCTTGCTCAGATTTCTTTTGTTCTAACTCTATCCTATGTTTTTTTTCTTGAATTTCTGCCTCAAGCCTTTTAGACTCCAAGGCAAGTCTTGCTTTGTCATTTGCAATTTTTTCTTTTTCATTATCCATTTTTTGTTCTTCTAACTTGAGTTCTGCAGATCTTATTTCTCGTGATATTTCCGCTTTTTCTCGTAGGTAATCAAGGCCATTTTTT